CCCCAAAACCCCAAAACCCCAAAACCCCAAAACCCCATATAAAATTCTAGAATTGAAATAAAAAATATAAATGGGAGGCTTCTTCAAGAAGATCACATACGGATTGCTCAAATCTGTCAGAGCATTTGACATCTATGGCAAGCCGATAACTCTTCATTACAGAGGAGAGGAAAAATTCAAGACTTATGTTGGAGGCTCTGTTACTATCCTGGTCTTCTTAGTGTTATTAAGTTATGCTTCATATCTCACTGCCGTGATGTTTCAAAGACAAACTGTTATATATAGCTCAAGCTGTGTTGTAAGAGATCTTAATTCAGATTTAAGCGATAACAAGCCAGCCGAGCATGGCTTTGCAATGGCGATAGGCTTTAGATGGAATAATATCAGCTTTCTAGATGAAGCTTTTTTGAGAATGTACAAAGTCAGGGCTTATCAATACTCTGCAATTCTTCAAACTGGTGGTTGGAATGAAACAGAGGAGGAACTTGAGTTAGTGAGATGTCAAGACTATTTTCCATATTATAACCAAACTCATCTTAAACGGTACAGAATTAACAACCACGTTTGAATTAAGGTCAAGGATTATTCTATAGCTGGAAATTTGTACACAGATATCTCCAAAACTTTGAGAATAAAAATTAGTAAATGATCTTCCGCTGACAGAGGAGACTGCTACGAATCTAAGGATATTGATGAGTATATCTTTTATCAGTACCTTGAAGTTGTCATGATCAATAGTTACTTTGATTTGCATAGTTTCGATGACCCTATTAAAACCTATCTGACCCAGGAGTATTATTATACCTACCAGGCAGGTTATTTTACACAGACAAATTTTTACTTGAAAGAGAATAATATGGATGCTCTGGATGATTACACCCTTGTTGGTGGGAAAAAGAAGCGAAAGTTCTACACAGTTGCTAAGGAGAAAACTGATAAATATGCTTATACTTCTGGAGATTATGCACAAATTGAGTTTCATTTAGATCCCGAAACTGAGGTTTTCAAGAGAAATGTATTTACATTTATGGATTTGCTTGCAAATATCGGAGGAATCTTTAGTTTACTGAGCTCACTAGCAATGCTTATTGTAGGCTTCTACGCAGAGAAGATGCTAAGATACTCAATTATGGCGAAATGCTATACTTTTGATAAGAGAGAGTTGTTTCAAGAGCAACCATGACAAGACAGTGAGGGAAGTCTTGAAGTACCAAATACACCTGTCCGAGAACAACCATCAGATGCTTACGGTAGAAATTTACTAAAAGAGGATCTGGCAGAAGAAGAGAAAGAAAACAGGAAAGAAGAAAGCGAAGACTTTGAAGGAGGCTCCAAAGAAGGTTCCAAAGAAGAAGAGAAAGAACATCAAATTTCGAGAAATTTCTAATACTGATTATGACGATGAATTGTTAAGAAAGCTGAACAACAAAAGAAGATATAATTACTCGCATCTAGATATGATCTATAACTCCTTCTGCTTGTTCAAACGCAGGAAATGGTGTAGAAAGAAGTACATAAATTCCCAAATTTACAACAAAGGGTTTAAAAAGTATTCGTTAGACACAGATATTTGAAACATTATATCTGTTTGCCACCAATCCAAACTTCTCATCGAGTGGCTCCTGGATGAGAGACAGATCTTTTTGTCAAAGTTTGGTAACAAAAGTTCGCTGAGTTATATTGACGAGGATCTTAGGAATCCCCTTAAAGATATTATCAAATACAAATGCAAGAATTTTTATGAAAAAGAAGAACAATTTAATCATAAGAATGAAGGTAAATTTTCAAATTTCAAAATTTAGAATTTGTAAAGAAGATCAGCATGGAAGGAGTAAGAGACTTCGACCGATTCCTGATCAACCAAATCGAACCGATGTCAGATCCAAAACACAGGAGAAACGAAATTAGTGAAGAAAATAAAGGAAATCCAGCTCCTGACAATCAATCTGCAGGTTATAAAGTAATGACAGAGCTTTGGCGTAGCCTAAAGCATATTATTAGTGATTAAAAGACTATAGTTAGCAATGTAGATTATTCGTTCTTCAGAACAAGTTCTCGACATTAACGACTTTACTGTGGAATTATTTTTAAAATGTGTGGCTACTTCAAGCTTTGAATGAATTTCATCAGAAGCTAATCAATTTGTCCCTTTAATTTGGCCTATTGCAGCATCTGTATGTACTTCTGATTGTGAGACTATTATCTTTATCATAATTTGTTATTAGTAATTGACATTTTGAAGAAGATTTAGAAAGAATAGAGAGAATGCTTCAGAATAATGAAGTTCCTTTTAGGATAAAGAAAATATTGGCTTTAAAGGATGAGGATTATTCATGATAATAAGACTGATAAATAAAATGAGACTTTCTTGTTTAGAGTTCTTACATTTTAAATCCAATTATTTGAAAGGCAAGAATTAACAAAATCGATTCTTTAGGTTAATTTCAAAATTATAATTTTGTATTTTTGCTTCATTTTATTTAAAAAAATTACTTTTATTAAGAAACTTCCCAAGCATAAGTAAATTTTTTACTAAGAATACTCCATATTTTAAAGCAATTCTCACTTTTTAAAGCACCCCATCTTCATACCACATTCCCACTCCTCCAAAGCCCCCCTTTTCCCCATCATCCAACCTCACTGTCACTCTCAATCCGTCCTATCCCCCTCCCTCTAAACAATCCCCCACCCTTTAACCCCTCCTAATTCCTCATCCACCCAAAATCCTACTTAAATTTCTAAAATAGCCTGTTGGCCCTACTTGACCTCCACTGAAAGCCACTCTTTCTCAGGCGCAGCTTGGGAAAGCCCAGAGGCAGGCTAATATAACCACCCACTTCCAGCCCCCAACTCAGCCACTGAATGTGACCCCAACCGTGCAGCTCTAAAACCGACCGAAGACAAAGAGTAAGTATCTGTTCACACCAAAGTTGCTTATTTTTATAGGTCGTGAGAAGTTGGCGATGTCAGTAAGTTTAGGCCCAGACTGGGAGCTGGGAGGGATGGGTGAAGTTAAGCTGAGAGGGAATTTTGTGGGTTGTTTCTGGGGGTTTGAATGGGATCGTGGGAAATTAAGTCGTTGTTGGGTGGGTGATGGTGATTAATAAAATAGGTATTGAGATGAGTAATCAGAGATCTATGGTCGAAATGCTTCAAAAACAAATTTCAGGAACTAACATGTATCAATTGAACAGCAATTCAAATCCTTATAAAAGAAAATTAGAAGAAAATCCAGCCTAGTGCTTCATTTTAATTCATTTATTAAAATTTTAATAAAACTTCACTACTTTCCTCACACCTTGGGGTTTTGGGGTTTTGGGGTTTTGGGG